TTCACCTGGGAAAGCAAGCCATGGTCATGAGATTCCTAGCTTAGTTTCTCAGTTTTAACCTCAAGAACTTGAAAATATATACTCCTGTTCTATGAAAAGTAAGTTTCCTGCTTCACTCAAGTGGTTCTTCATTTGTTGAAGATGAAAGTGATTCCTGATTTATGAACCCAGGTGATATAACGGACATAATGTGGTCAGAAAATCTTGGAAGAATAAAAGATTTGAGTGATGAGGAGAGGGAAATCATTTCCATCAGCTTAAGTTTCTGGTTAGTCTAGCCTTCAGAGGGAAGCTGGATTCAGCAATATCCAGAAGGCAGGCATGAGTCTCTCTACAAAGCTCTAGGCTAAAAACAGATCATTGTGACAAATTTAGGAAGTGAAGATGTGATAGGAAAAACCATAAACATACTAAAAATTAATGATGCAGGCAGAAAAACAAGAAAATAAAAGCAGTGTTGCAAGTGTAAAAAAGGACTTTTAAGAAGTGTGTAGAATTAATAATTCCAAAACAAGAGAAACAATTAAGGTTCTAAGTGCCGCTTAAAATATGACTTGAGACATTGATAAGATCTGTTTGGAAAGATCCATAAATTCTAGAAAAGCATTTTTTCTCCTTAGCCCAAATGTGGGCAGTAAGTACCATAGGTAGTACAAAGGGTTTGATCTGTTTAAGCAATATGTAAGATACATAGTTATGTTTTGAAGGTTGTTTCCATAGTGCTAGATAAAAATAATGGCACAGACTGTTTTCAAAATAAATACTGTAACAATTAAACTAGGCACACAGTCATTCTTCCTGATCTAATTAGGATGCTCATAAGAAATTATTCTAGTGCATGCCTTTTTCTAACCTACACTTTCTGTAAAATATACATGAATCTTCCACCTCACAAGATGAACAGAAGCCAAAGAATCCCCCTCAAAAAGTAAGTTCTGCACCCAATGACCCAGTACCATACTGCCAGTTACTTACTACATAAAAAAAGCAGGCTTCACATTTCCTCAGAGGCTATCAACATAAACCCAGAAGAATGAATGTTAATTACTTATTCTAAAAACATTAATTATTTTTAGTAAAAGTAATTTTCAAGAAGTCTCAGGAATTACAGCCCTGGGAAATTAAATCCTCCTTTCACATATAAGTGTACACACAGATAGATATATGACACAAAGAGCACGGACTGCTTTAGTTCTGTTGCATTGCTGAAATTAAATAATCAGTTTTGTAATTCATTAAAGAACTGCTTTCGTGACTGTGTGTAGCAATGAGTTCTACAGTTTGCCCTTATGCTGCACAGCCCAGTACTTTCTATTGCTGAAATTTTACGTAAGCTTTTGCTCTTTGATTAAAGAAAACAAAGGAAGGTAGGAATGAAGGAACTAAGAGGAAAAAAGGGTGGAAATTCTCAGGCACTACTCTGGAAAATTTTACAAATTTGGAAAAATGCAACTAATTGATGCAATAGCCATCACAACCTCTTTGTTCAGTGTGAATAATTAATAACAATAATAATAAAAAACCCAAAACAATCCCAAATTCGGCATTACTAGAACAGTGGCAGTCAATTACTTTCATTGTTTGAAAATACAAGTGTCTCCCCTGGTTCTAAGCTGTGGAACTTTAAAATCAGGCATGAGTAAAAGGACCAGCCATAAACATACCTTTTCAAACCAAACCCTCTAATTTTATTCAACAGAGAAGGAAAGTATTATGGGATTTGCTACGTTCCCAAAGATAAGCAAATCTAAGTTCTGGTGGACAGCACTGGATAGAGCTTTCCAAAACCAGGCATGTCTCAAAAATAATTAATGCCCTGCCAGCTGCTTCTTCATACTTCATTTGCAGAGTTTAAATGTGTGAATCTCTGTGGAGTTTGACTTGGCAGTACATCACAGGGAGAAAAGTGATTTTTCAAGCAACTAGGCTCAGTTCTACACAACTGTGCTCAAACATAATGAAGTTCTTGTAAACCAAACAGTTTGGTGATAAAAAGGTTTATCTCTGCAGGATAATTTATTTTAATCTGTTATCTTATGCAAATCCAGCAGGGCTGCTACCTTTCTAATATCTTCCGTAAGGCTAGACATGCTCTACAGAGAGCGTAAAATGTGTGGATTTAAAATCACATTTTAAACCAAGAAGGTTTCAGCAACAGACTCATTCTGGATGCAAATCTGACTCGTGGTTTCTCAAAACCTGGGCAACAGCCAGCCTAAGACACATCATGCAGCCTGTCAGCAGCAGTGCAGCCTCTTTGGGATCCACACATTCATTCCTGTGTGGACTCCTGCTTCATGCACCCAGGCACCCACCAGCAGTGCAACAGAGCCAACACTCACTGCTCCTTCTCTCACCAGCTCTCTTGCAGAATAAGCAAGGGCCATGCAACACAAAAACTTATTTTGTCAGATTGTTGGGGGCTGGTGGGAGGCTAGGGTGGTCTTTTTGTGAAAATTCTCCCTTAATGTCATTCAAATATGAGTCTGTGTAAAGGCACAGTGAGAAAGGCCATCAGTACATACGAGCAGGTCAGGTTATTTTACCTCAAGCCTGTATTTTTTCTGTCTATTACTGTATAATTTCATACTTTTTCAATATGCCTGAGTGAATATATACAGAATATGGCAAAGACTTGTTGCAAAAACTTGGTTGATATGTTTGTCAAAGAGTGGGAGAGTCCACTTGGGGGCTGCTCACCAGCCAGAGCCAGGGCCAGGGTCAATCCCACAATCCCAGACAGAATGGGGGACCCTGGGAACAGCTGGGCTGGCACATCTGCGCTCACGCTTCACAGTCAGAACCAGCAGCACCCATGGCTGGGCGCAGGCCACTGAACTACCCATCCTTAGACCATAGGCTAGTAGGGCACAGGCAATTCTGTAACTCCTATTTGCTTCATGCTTCCCCTCAGCTAAGTATGATTATCATTGCCATCCTGAATTCCTGAAGGACCCTTTCCCCTGCTGTGCTTTAGCACACACATTTTCCGAATTAACAGTGGAACAACATTCTGGTTCTTGCAATGATGCTATCTTTCTAGCTTTTACTTGAAGTTCCAAGTGCTCAAGTAGTAGGCCTGTAGGAAATTCTAATGTTTATTCAATCACTAGAAGTTCTACACTTTGTATTTTCAAAGTAAACTTTGGGATCATAACACCTAAAGGCTCAACTAAGCAAAGTTATACATATTGTCTAATAGAAATAATTCCTCTACTTTGTTTTCCTGAAAGGGTAATGATAGTCTGGCATTGCACAAATTCATACCCACTGACTTTCACATCTAATTGGGTCTGCAAGAAATACAGCATTTTCAAGGCAAAGAGCCCCCCAAGCCAGCAGCTGTTGCCAGTTGCTACACAGAGCCTGTGGTGCCTCCATTGCCAGCCTTCAGCAGCCACCCTGTGTGACTTTCTGGGAGGCTCAGCTCTTTCCCAGAGTGCACAGGTACTCCAGTGCTGCACAGGAACCAAAAGCTGGACTGGCTGTATACAGTGCCCTCCATGCCCTGCACTCTGGGATGCTGCGGCTGAGCAGCTGCGCTGCTGAGCTCAGGCAAACGCACGGAGCTGCTCCCTGCATGAGCCTGAGATCATGAGCTCACGGGGGTTGAGGGGACGACATGCAGACAACCATGATGTCCCTGTCATCTCCAGACTTGCAGACCTCCTCCTCTCAGTCTAGTTAAGCCAAACACCATGTCCTCTCAAGCAGAGCATCTAATTAACCTCTGAGAAACACGAAGTTCGGGATGGAAACTGCACAATCCATGTTAAGGTACTCAGTTGCTGCAGCATCAGTTCCATGACATCTTCCCTATGTGATGATGTAAATGATGACGTCAAGGCCCGGAGATACCATCTTCAAGCAGAGGCACTGGCATATTGGCCAACTCTGGAGCAGAATGTGCATACATCCCCCTCATCCCCCTCAGTACCTGAAGAAACAAACACCTTTTTGGACCTGTGTAGATACTCCCGTTGCTAACAGTTTCAATTACTTTTGTGAATGTCACTCTATTGCCTTGATGTTAGTGCGTGGCTCTCACAGTGGAGTTCATGATGCTCACCACATTTTTTTTCCTTCGGGAATGATTTTTAATCGGACGCGCACCATTTACGCAGAGGACATTATTCTGCGGCCGGGCCGCAGGTACCGGCACACGGCGGAGGGAACCCGGGGATCAGGACAACGCCTCGCGGTGCCGATGCCGGGCGCTGGCGTGCGAGCAGCCACGCAGTGTTTACGGCTGAATGAGGGGCGCAGCCGAGGAGCTGCGTCAGCGCGGGCGGAGGCGGGCCGGGGCGGGCGCGCCCGCCGGGGCGGCCGGGCGGCGGCGGCCGGCGCCCGCGGGCGGGCAGCGCGGGTTTCGGCGCAGCGGGGCTCGGGACCCGGAAGCAGAAGCGGGGCCGGGAGGCGGCTGGATGGGAAGGAGCGGCGGTGGGCGGCGATGGGGGAGCAGCAGAGCTCGCTGAGCACCCCGCGGGCGGACGCCGCGCCGCCGAGCCCGGTCGGGGACCCGCGGGAGCCCGGCCCGGACGAGCCGCCTTCGCCGCGAGAGGCGGTCCCGGGCGGCGGGGCGAGGCGGAGAGCTGCCGACGGCCGCCGCCGGCCCGGAGCGGCGAGGAGCCGAAGAGGAGGTGGAGGCGGCGGCCGGGCCGGAGCAGCCGCCGGACTCCGGGGAGCCGGCAGCCCCGGCGGAGGAGGGGCCGGAGGGAGGCAGCGGCCGCCGCCGCCCCCCCCGGCGGCACGTGTACTGCACCGTCTACTGCGTGGAGAATGACCGGCCGGTGGCGGCCCCCGGCTCCCCCCGCGGCGGCCCGGGCGTGGGGCAGCCCCCCGCGCGGCGCGGGGTGGTGTCGGGCGACGACCCGCTGTCGTCGGGCGGCAGCATCGAGGTGGTGGACTTGTACCTGCTGCCCGAGCCCTTCTCCGGGCTGATCGCGGGCGAGTTCGGGCCGCTGCTGGTGCTGAGCTGCCGCGTGTGCCTGGAGGAGAAGCCCATCAAGCCCCTGTCCTGCTGCAAGAAGGCGGTGTGCGAGGAGTGCCTCCGGCGGTACCTCAGCTCCCAGGTACTTCCCAGCGGGCGCTGCCGGGGTGTGCTGTGGGGGGCTGTGGCCGCAGCGGGCTCGGGCAGCCCGGCGGGCCGAGCGCTGCGCTGGGCCCGGCGAGCCGGGCTGGGCCGTGAGGGGCGGAGGGAGAGGGAGCCTTTCCCGTCCCGCACGGAACGTGTTCGGCCACCACCTGCGTGCGAGCTGCGGATTCGGCGACCTGATTCAGTTCCTGAAGCGCTGCTCTGCGCGTCCGTACGCGGCTGGTCGGGCTGGTCGCTAGCGCGTTTTTAGGCTCTTGCCGTGTTTATAAGAATTTTCGCTTTGCAGTCTCAGACTCTTGCTGTTACCTGACCGGCGGCACCAGTTTTCTTTTAAGAGGCGGCCAAGGAGTGATAAGGAGCGGAGTTTGGGAGCATTGGCAGCCGCCTCCGAAGCGACTCCCGGAGCCGTGGTTTTGCCCGCTCCCTCTTTGTGTTCGGGCCCTTGGTGCCGCCGCTGCCTGCTCCTCGCAGGACACATCGCGTTTGGTGTTGCGCCAGTTATGCTAGCTTAAAATAGTGTGTGTGGCTGTTGGTGAACAATTGCAGCTAACAACAGTAAACAATAACTTATTTGGAGGAAAAAAATGAAAACACATCTCTTCCATCCTGGGCTGGCAACTGCTCATCGTGGCAGATAGCTGGCATATAGGGTGTTTACATGTTCATCACTGTTTTGTCAGTCAGAACTGCTGTTTCAAACCGAAATCAGCAGCTCTGATTAGCAACTAAGCTCTGTCTTTGCTAATGTTTTCTGTAGTTAGTTTAGCACTACTAACTATTTGTGTGTTTCTGTTAGTGTAGTCATACCCTAAACACGAAAAACAATGGGAGAAGTATGGTGTATGTGGGAAAAACAAAATAAACGAAACCCTTTGCTTACCACCTTTATGGTTTTATTCAGCAGAAGCTTTTAGGATGTGCCTGGTGGAAATGTGCTAGTTTATTGGTGGAATGAATTTTTTCACCTATTTGGGGCTTGGTGCTGTGGTGGGGCAGTTTGTGCTCCTGCTGGGCTGTACGTGTAGGGAAGGAATGAGTGAATACAGCTACCCCTGCAATCCATTAATAGTTGACAGGCCTCTTCTGACCAGAGTACATTTCCATGCTTGGAAATTGCACGTAAAGTGCAAGTTGCTCCTCTCTGGGCCCTGGTAGCCTATACAGCATTTGCTGGTGCTGGTAGCATTTTTTTCGGGTAATAGTAAACTCAGTAGCATTTTTATGATCTTGTTTGGATATGTTTAGATAATAGCGAAGGGCTTTACTTGGTAACTGATGGAACGGATGGTCAGAGTTAATGTTTTGTGTGTTTTCCTGTAACACTGAAACTCAGGAACACTTAATAAGCCTTCTTGAGACTTCATGCACAGAATGATTTGATTTGTAGATAAGTGGCAGACTGCAAATTCTCACTAAGTTCTTAGATTATGTTATCAGTGCACATTTGTGCTGCTTTGATATCTGCCACTGAGGTCATATGTCAGAGTATTGACTTTGATTTAAGCTGGAAATTGACAAGTGTTTTGATGTCAGGGTGATCTTCCCCATGTTCTGCAGGTGCCTGCAGTTTACAGTGATATAATGGAACTTACATGATCTGGTATCTAAAGCCATACTGAAGAACTCTTCTGCCTGGTTTAGGCTGAACTCTTGGAGAAGGAAGCAGCAGCTTGGTGGCTGAAATAGCTGGCTGGCCTAGGAAGCAGGTAGATGTGCTATGCAGTGAGTTTAGCACTGGCCAGGTGTTGGATGTGTATGCAGGGATGCCCTTCAAGGAAGCCACTACTATTGCTGAGCACCTGCAAAGCTGTTCCCAGCAGCTGGTGAAAGGTACCCGTATGGAGCATAGCCATGTGGGTACTTAACTGTGGTACTTCAGAGGTGGGGCAGGGATACTGGTCTTGAGGAGTGAGATTCACAGAGCACTTTTGTGGACATGTTGTTACAGATGCTTTTATGACCAGGCAGAATTCTAGCTTCTAGATAGATTTGTTAGGGAAAAGTGAAACAAAATGCAATAAATAACAGTCCAATGTGTTCTTCCCTTATCTTCCTTTTTGAAAAGGACGAGAAAGCGATATTTCTTCACGAAGAACAAAAAGTGATCTCTCTTTCCTTTGTGCTGTGGAAGGACCCTGTGAGTCATCCTGGGGAGAGAGAAAGGCATCTCCGTGTCAGTTATATTAGAAGAATTTCTGGGAAGGATGAGTGAAAAGCCAGTAGTATAGGTTAGAAATCAAGTTACTTTTCATCTTTGAGACTGCATTTTTTGTAGGATATTAAAAAGAAAATTTGTGAGAAGCTCAAAAGGTATAAATGCTGAAAAGCTATTTTTGTTTCAAAACTTACTTTTGGATATGATCAGCCTGATTTAAGAATGTACCTAAAATTGAAAACAAACAAAAAACAATTGGAAGAAAAAAAAGCCAAGCAGCATTTTGAATAGGTTAGATCTGGTTTTCTTGTCAGAGAAATAGTAGGCTCTGCCCTGGCTGACTGCATCTCTGGAGGAGTGGTCTGTCATGCTGAAAATGTGGAATATATTGGCAGAAGTATAGCACTTAAAATAATTTGTGTAGCCTTTGATGTCTGTGTGTGTTCTCTCACTGAAGAAAGCTGTATTCTTCATGATAGCTTCATTGTGATTCCTAAAATGATGTTTAATGGAGTAGCAAAGTAAAAACTCTGTTAATGCACCCTGCTTTCTTCTATGCAAATATATAAGAGCATCAGAACTTCTGCCTTCAAGCCCTTTATAGATAAGAAAATCAACTGAAGTTTTAGGCATTCTTAAAAGGAATGCCAGATGAAAATACTCCAACTGCAGCGTTGTTGCTCATCATGCTGGAAAATGAGGGTAACGTCTGAAGGTCCTTAGAGGTCAAATTCAGTCTTATCACTGGCACCTTGCTGCGTAATCCCTTTCAAAGATTTAGTGGCTGGAGCAGAAGCTTAGCAGGTGAGCCTGGAATGCCCAGGCTGGTGTGGAGCCTGACTTTGGGAAATCATGTAGTGTTGCTTCTGCCTCAGTTTAGCTATTCTGTCTCACATCCTGACAGTCACAGAGCACCTGGGGCTCTTGAGGGTCTGAATATGACCAGTTGATCTACCATTCACAAAAAATATTCTGTGACCATATGTTTGGGCTCACAGAAATTGATGATATGGTAATTGATGGGTATGGGTAATGGGTTGTTGTGGAAGAGGTTATGTGGAGCTCAGGATCTTTTGTGGATCCCACAGAGCCTCAGTCAGGTCCCAGCAAGCCCTGTCTCCAGGAATTGATGTAGCCCTGAGCTGTTGTTTGTTATGCTTAGTGGGTGAGGTTGAAGAGTTTGATTGTCTGAAAGGCCAGTGTTCTCCCTCCATGGACTCTCAGGTATGTGTTGAGTGGGGTTGGGATCAAAAACGTGGAAGAACCATTTCCCATTCAGCTGGAAGCTGTGGGTTTCTGCACTCTGTCATCCAGGATACAAATTTCTGACAGGGAAGCAAGAACCAGGCCACTTAATCTCACAGGTGTAATATTAAATCTGTATCTCCTTCACTTCCTTCACTTCCCATCTTTCTCTTCATTAAATGTGGCACCAAACCCAGATTATTGCAGAAACTGCATATCGAGGTTTCATTAAAAAGTGATTCACTACCAAATCACTCTGGGCTGCTTGTATTTTTATGTAAGAGGGAACATTTCACTTTTCCTATAAAATGGCCGCAAAAGTTTTATAGAAACCTCTGTGCCTGCTTTTTCTACATGCAAATAGGGAAACTTGATAATCCAGTTTTGATGCTGTGCTCATTAGTGATGCTTTATTTTGTAAATCTTGTAACTCTGTTGGAGTAGTCATTCTTACAGTAAAAGACTTTGGGTGAGTTAATTTAAACAACGTACTGTATTCTTCATCAGATTTTATGGTGCTTTAATTATAGGAACTCTAATGAGATTAGTAGCCATGAGTAAATCAGAAGAGATGGTTGGGGGTGGGGAAGGACTGCATCTGACAGTATTTTGTGCATGGTTAGCTTTGGTGGGACAAGAATTCTTCTTTCTTCTGAGCCTGAAATGTGGAGATCATCCTCCCTCTGCTCAGGACCTTAGTCGTTCTCTCTCTGTGACCTGAGATTTTTTTTGACCTCTCTCTTTTCTGTGCATGATTTCTTTCTAAAAGAGCTGGAGAAAAAAAGCTGCTTACTGTTACAGTCAGAATTTTTGTGGGGAATGTGATTATAAAGCTTCATAGTGAAGAGGAAAATTGAAGAGCAATCTGCATCACAGAAAACTAGTACTGGCTTGGAGCTGGAGGGCCTTGACACCTGTGTCTTGTCAGGTGTCTGATGGTATCATATAAATGATACATCTTCAAAGCTGTAGTCTGCTGATGAAAACCAGCCAGCAGAAATGTAGGCACCAAGTGCTGAATCATCTGATGGTTAATGAGCTGCTTGTGCCCTGAGTCAAACCAGAGCTCAGAAAGGCCACTGTCATTCAGTGCAGAAGCAGCTCTGTGTTTACAAGGGTAATTAATCTAAAACCTTGCTCTAACACCAGCTACCAAGTTGCTGGGACAGCTGCACACTGCCTTCCAGGAGGTGATAGCGGGGTGAGCGACCACCCTTCCAGCTGACATTGCCAGAATGCAGAAGTTTCCAAAGGAGAAAGAGAGGTGCAAGAGGAGAAAAGAACCTGCTGGTTTACCCGCTTCCTAAACCAAATCAGCATCCTCTGCCACTGTAAGCTGGCTGTGTTCCCAAGGAGAAGAAGGCAGATAGACTTGGTCCGTCAGATGCAAGCAGCCCATAAGCTGCAGGAGCACCTGAACTACTTCTCTGTCATTTTTAGCAAGCAGCTTCTGCAAGTTTGTTGTGTTCTCCTGATGTTTTGTATGCAGTACCAGTATCAAAATTCTGCTGCATAGGCAGATGTCACAGTGCGGGATGATACCCAAGTAACTCTAAGATTGTGAGAGTTAGTCTTTC